AAATTAGACCAAAGTAAAAGAATTAACCTGTTGGATACAGGTGCCTTGCTGCCCACATGTGACCCAAAATCCCTGCGTAAGGCTTACTTGAGTAGAGACTCCTGGGTGTGTGGTTTGTAGGCCCTGCCCACATGAACACTTGTGATTGTGGGGTCAAGACTTCTTGCCTCCACATTGCATTATATTCTCTTTTTTTGCATAAGCATATTTTGCCCTTTTGCCATTTTCAAATATTTTTAATATACTGTATCAAGATGGTAATAGATTTTTTTCCTTGCATAGACTCCAAATTATCTCTGTAAGTAGTCTATAACTCTGTGCAATAACAATAAAAAAGTAACATTTTTGTATTTGTGTCACTTCTTTATCTTTCTATATTGTTCCATTTTCTATAACAAAGATTGCACCACCAGTCAAAATAGGATCCTGGGCATGTAAATAGTGTCCTCCCTGGAGCAGGTACTCTTCCAGCCATGGCTCATGCTACATTCCACCATCATTCATCAGTGGGAATAATTCAAGAGCCCCTTCCTAAATGTCCAATGAGTCTAATCTTTTTCCAAGAGATTTGTGCACTCCTGGCAAGTCATTTCCATCACCCTAGCCTTCAACTAAATTTTTCATGATGGCATATTCCTGCCACCCCAGCCCTTAGCCAAATTATTTCATAACATAATGGTCTCATCACACAGATCCTACGGTTAAGGACTAAGAAACTGATGGATATTTTCCCTCTGAATGTAAAGAGACACAAAAGAATAACATTTAAAAATACATTAAATGCTACACTACACTGTGCATGTACAGAAAATAAACCAACAAAGATTAAATGTAATGACTATGATATTTCAAGATTAACAAATATATAGCTGAGAATGTATATACATAATTTGTCTCCTCATTCAGCTAAAAAAAATGTTTGATAGCCTAAAATTTATTTCTAATATAAATTATTAACTAAATCTACTTTACCTGTGCAGTATATCTAGAACTTATCAAGGAAAAATAATATAGTTGTGTTATTGCAGACAGTTGTGACATTATAATGCCATTATTCACATATCTATGACACTTAAATATTTCTAATAAGTCTTTCTATAAACAATCAAGAACAATAAAATGGCAGCTATGACAGGGAGACAAAAGTGCCTATTTCCAAACTACTATTGAGTATCAGTTATAACTACATAAAAATATAAATGTTTTTTTCCTTACTATATACCCTATACATAGCAAACATTATGTACATTATTATGAATTCAAAAAAGATGAAAAGCAAGAATCATATCACTAGGAAGACAATATCTTAACCATTAAAATCTTTTACTGTCAAAGTTTAATATCTATCTTTAACTAAACTATATGTTCAAAGCATACATCTATTATGTACACTGACATACGCTTTCAGTCCATCTCCAGTATGTAGGCCTATTGCTCAAAAACTGTTAATATTTACTTAAGATACTGTCCACATGTATATACTGTTAACCTGGCATCTCCAATGAAGTCTTTCCTATACTTTGCATAGGAAATAACATATAGCTAAAATATCAAAATACTAACCATTCTAAGGACTGAAAATGATAACGACCTCCTTTGGTAAAATAACAAACTGAAATAATGATAACAGCTGGCATGATGAAGTGATTATTGGCTTGCTCAGTGGACAAATAACTGTATGCTAAGAATGTTGTTTGATATAAGCAAATAATTAACTGCAATTTACACAGGTAGTTTACTTTCAAAAGTTATCAAATAAAACACATATGCAACCATAATTATACTCATGTACTTTGGCAATGTTTATTGTATAGATGCCCAGCAGTGTTCCATTTCTTTCCCCTTTTCAATTTTCACTTACAGGTCAAACTAATGTATTGACCTTTTATATAAATCAACTAATCTGTTAATTAGAGCCACAACAAACAAGTTACTATATCAAAGCAATGAAGAGGAAATTAGTTTTGAAAAAAATATAAAATCAATAACAATGAGTACTGCTGTATAAGCATACTATTCACTGTTTGTTCCTCATCTTTAACTGAATTTCCTGCTCAGGATGCTGGTAAAATTCCACAGTGATGATAGTAGCTTTAATCAGACTGTTAGAAGAAATTTTGGAAAGTGAATGGAGAAGTACGCTGGTAGCAATTTTTATAAAATGGTAATGTGTAGAGTCACTGAGTAGCTATGTGGGAGAACAAGCCAAGGGCTATATTGTAAAAACTACAGAAATCTCTCCTGAAGTTTTACATACTAAAGCAGAAGCAAAAACTATGCAGCATTATATGGAGGTTTAGACTGTACTAACATAGTGAGAGAACAATCAATGCGATATCTAGTGCTAAAACATATTTTCGCTGATGGTGGTGCTTGAATCGTTCTCCTGCGGAGCTACTCAATTATGGCAGCATAACATTGATAACACAGCACAGTCACAAAAGAAAGTAATGGAAGCTAAGCTTACAGGAGTGCTGATCTGAAAATAGCATGTCAGAAAAGAGCACTAAAGATGCAATGCATGCTTTGAGAGTATTGATGTAGAAGTAAAAAGATGGGCAGGAGCAGGATTGTGAGTTAAAAAGAAATTATATGAGGAAGATAGTAGCATCAGAGAAGCAGCAACATGTGAGTACAGTGCAGGCTATGTATGGGAACAATGTGACAGTCATAAGGTGTGCATCAGGGATAATGGACAGGGTCAAGATCAAAGTGGGACAGCATCAGGCATAACCTCTGAGCTCAATCTATACTGGTGATGGACAGACAGATAGATGTACAAGATCAGACACAAGTCTCCTTGAACTATGATGTTAGCAAATGATATTATGACTTGTAGTGAGAGTACAGAGCAGACCCAAATAAGTCAGATGTGGAGGTACACACTAAAAAAAAAGATGAATGACAGATCTTTATGCAAACTTTACACAGATAAGATATTCTAAGGAAAGTTCTGTAACAATCACTATTTTTTTCTAATACTTCCTGTCAGTTCCATTACCTGGGTACATTCTTAATATTACTTCCATACCTGTTTTTTTATCACAGCAGCACTGAGGCTGATAAACTTTATCACAAAAATTAACCATCATAGTTCCCTTTTCTTCATTGTTAATATTCATTAGCTATGTGCTGATAGCTCACAATAGAATTTAGTATAAGAAATTACTCATGCAAACAAGTACCTTTCAATGCAAGTTTAATTTATAAATAGATGATATGTAAATCAGAACCTTAAAGCAAATTTTTTTGCGATGCTACAAATGTTGATATAAGCCACTGAAAACCCTATTGATCTTTAAACAAAAATGAATACCATATAAACAAAATTACTACTTTCACTGATAAGCAGAATAAATAAAAATTAAGATTACATTCTAGAAAATATGTATTAATCACCTCTATAAAATGAGTCTACATACTGCAACACACATAAAAACCATAACCCACTAAAATCATTTTCCTTTCCTAGACCTTTAAGAACTACTCTATGCAGGATATCTCCACATAAATCTATATGACATTTGCAAACGTGTCATATCTAGAAAGAACTAAAAATGCAACCTTCATCCACATCTTATATTTTGTTATGATCTGTGATAGAAGTCCAATTTACTAATGATGATGTGGTATCAAGAAAAATTATAACCTCTGAGACTTTAGCTTTTTGGCTGAAGGTAACAAATTTCTACCACATTCATTATGGCAAGATCAAGTTTAAGCTGGCCCCTTATTTGAGGATAGGGTCATTCCATATCAAATGTAATAAACTGTAACCCACCATGCAGAATGTCATTGACTATCTAAATATTTGTTAACCCCATTGAGAACATTATACAAAAATAGAAAAAAAAGTTAATATCTCAAGCAGTTTCAGATTTACAGCTAATCAAAAAATGCCTCATTTTAGGGTGCAGCGTCACCCAAGTTTGACTTGCATGAGGATGCTCTGACTTCTGATGCATTTTAAAATAATTTTATACTTCCTGTGTGAATGAAAATTTGTACCCTACATCTTTTGATGTTGAAGAATCCAAAAATCACACTTAGAATATCATGAAATCAAGTTATCTTTATGAATTTGGTCAATGAAACCACTCATTGATTTCAGGAACTTTTTAACCTCTTTATTTTGAGCCAATTTTTTTCTACGTCTCCCTAAACATATAGCAGTTTACTTTATACAACTTGAAAGAGCATTTTTTAAACTGGTAAAAAACACTAAGAGAACCATGTGTATATAGAGGCAAAAGATTATTACAGTTGAAAAACTTTTATTTTTTGTAAAAATTTGTCATTATACAAAAATAGTTACCAATTATTTTGAAATATTTGAAACTGTTGAAAAATACCAAGAGAACAATTTGTATATGGAAGAGACAAAAAATTATTGCAGCTGAAGAACTCTTTAGATTTTTGTGAAAATTTGCCATTGGACATATATTGTTACCAAATATTTTGAAATATTTGCTTACAAGCATGGCCTTAAGAGTTCATAAAAAGTCAAATAGTTTTATAAGATCTGGTATTTGAAACCCTTTCCATGTATCAAGATCAAATCATCCACAGAATAGTGTTAAAGCCACTTCAATGGACTTCGAGATATCTGAAGTTGAATCATCCTTTTCAATAAGTCAATCAAGAATTCTAGGTAATTGTCTTTCATTTTTCACCCAAAAAATACAAAGCATTTGAAAGCATTGTCAAGTCTTTTATGTTAATGTAAACTTTGACAGCGCTGTAGGCACATTTAAGAAGTTATTTGCAGCAGCTGTGGGAATTGAAGACATCGTTCTTGTTTTGAAATGGGAGTCACTTTGCTGCATCAGGTCTATAAAAGCGATCTGAAAAGAAAAGCTCATTATCCTTGGGACCAAAANTCATCCTCTCCCCGTCTCCCGTCTCTCACGCAATCCTCTCCCCGTCTCCCCGTCTCTCACGCATCCTCTCCCCATCCCTCGTCTCTCACGCATCCTCTCCCCGTCTCCCGTCTCTCACGC